TCCAAAATCTCTGTAAATTTTCATTGAAATTAATAATAAAAAAAATTAAAAAGAAAAATGAAATCAAAGTGTGAGGTGCTGACCTGAACAAAGTTGTAGGGAGGAAATACAAAAGATGTTACAAAACTGAGACCCTTCTAAAACCGGAACATAAATCTGGAATGAGAAAGAGGAAAGCAGTAAAGCAAAGCAGGGGGATAAAGTCAGATCTATTGACACCTAACGACGACAACAACACAGTAAAATAAAAAAGGAAGAAAAGATTTAGCACAGAAGCAGTGAAGGAATGATAGGAAAAGGTACAAACAAAAATAAACGCAGCACAGAAAAGTAGATGTACTAAAGAAACCAGCAACGCATGCGTGCACACACACACAGAGAAAGGCAAAAAAATCTTACCTATTGATACTGAAGGTGCACGGATTAAATGTATAATTTAAAATATGGAGAGAAAAAGATTAGCAGAATGAATAAGAAACCATGACCCATCAATATGCTGTCTGTAAGAGTCACACTTTAGACCCAAGAACAAATACAGACCAAAAATCTAATGGTTGAAAAAATACATCAAGCAAATGGAATAGAAAAAGAACAGGAGTGGCGCTATTAATTTATGATAAAACCCCAATCTCCAAGGCAAAAATCAGCATAAGAGACAATGAAGGGCATTACGTAGTAATTAAAGTCATATAAACAGGAGGACTTAACTATAGTTCATATCTACTTACACAGTGATAGAGCCCCAAGACAGTAAATTAAAACTTTAACAGAAGATAAAAGATTAACTCCACAGTAACAGTAGACTTTCAGACACCACTTCAATAAATGAGTATGGCAACAAAGATGTGGAAGAACTACAGAATACAATCAACTTACTGTTCTCACAGATGTATACAAGGTTCCAAGCAAAAAGAGTACAATACACAGTCTTTTTCCATTATATACAGAATATTTTCCAGAATAGATCATGTTAGGTCACAAAGCAAGCTTCAGTAAATTTAAGAACACAGAAATACTATAAACCATCTCTTCAGATCACAATGCTATAAATTAACCACAAAAAGATCAAAGGGGGGAAAAAATCAAATACATGGAAATTAATTAACACCTTGCTTGAACAATGCTCAGTAATAAAAGAAATTAAAGAGGAAATGGGTGGGGGGGACCACACCACAAAACGAGGTTGAAGTACATGACAATAAAAACACAGCATACCAAAATCTTTGGGACACAATCAAAGCAATAACTAAATGTGGATTAGAAATAGGTTTGAGGCAAGCTCTGGTGGCCTAGTGGCAAGAAGCTGCACTGCAATCCCAGGGGTGTGGAGTTCAAATCCACCAGCTGCTCTGCTGGAGAAGGAGGAACAATCTCCTCCTGTACCAGTCAGATTTGATTTGATGGTACACACAAAATAATGTTGTTGTTGTTGTTGTTATGTGCCGTCGAGTCGTTTGGGACTCATAGCGACCCTATGTACAACAGCCCTAAACCCCGCTCTATCCCGTGCCAATCTCATTGCCTCTGACACACCCATCCCGATTACCCCAGTCACTGAATCAATCCACCTCATAGAGGGTCTTCCCCTCATAATAAAATTTAAAAAAAAAAAAAAAGAAAGAAAGAAATAGGTTTGAACACAGAGTAAGTGGAAGCTACTAATTGTGTAGGGAGCTCTGGTGGTAAGAGTCCCAGGGGAGTTGCACTGCTAATTCAGGGGTCATGTCTGTTTGCAGTTTGGACTCCAGCAGCTGCATTGCAGGAGAAAGATGGGCAATCTTCTTCTGTGCAATTTATAGTCTCTGAAAACCTACCAGAGGGTCAGCTTGAGTTGGTTCTAATTCAACAGTAATGAGATGATGATGATGAACTAACTGTATAAAACTCATACTTGTATATACTGTCTCCCAGTATTTACTCAGTTTAAAAGTGAAATCACTTACTTGCTAACGAAGCTCTATTTCTCGCATTCAACTTTTTTTACATAATAGTCTTATAAAACAACTGACTTATGAATATATAAATCTGAAAGTCAAGACCACTTTCCAAAAAAGGAAATATATCATACATCTGTGTGAATATTCTGTGATTATTATTATTGAAGTTAACTTTCTGTGCAAGTACAATTTTCTTTTCATTTATGTTAATAATTATATAGAACTACATAGTACTTTACCAAAATGATTCTCTTGCTAATAACCCCTGAAGTTATCGCCATTTTTCCTTACTATACGTAATGCTATATGCACTATCTTCAGTGTATATGCCTCTGTGCAGAGCAATTCCATTTTCATTTTCTGCCTCTCACCTGCTTTCTCATAGTCATCACCGCTGACAGTCTTCTGAGCAACTGGTTGAAGACGACTAAATGAATCAAAGTCCAACGAGCTATCAAGAAAATTTTGTTCGCGGCTTATTGAGACCCGCATTGGGTCTCTGTCTTGATAAAAATATGTTTTACCTGAGAAGAGAAGAAAAAATAATTATTTCAGCAGATTTCCAATTAAATTTTAGACACAGTTAAAAGTAACATGGTAATTTATATGACAGCTAGTAAATGCTGAATTTGTAAAGGCTTTTTAATCTATGTAGCAAGAACAACTGCTTATTTTTCATATAATTAGTTCTTCCAATTATTTTACTTCCATTTTTATAAAGTTTTCAACTGATTTACTTTTGTTGGTGAAAATAGAGAACATATACCATTTGAGCACTTTCTAAATGTACAACTGAGAGGTAATGATTAGAGTCAAGCTGTGTGTATAATCAACCTCACTCTCCTTTTCCAAAATGCTCCTTTTCTAGTAACATAAAAATGCCTCCCAAGTTTCCTCTCTAACCTTTTTAGTTGCTGTTAGTTTCCTCTCTAACCTTTTTAGTTGCTGTTATCAATTTGATCCCACACACCAAAAATTCATTGCTCTTGAATTGGTTGCGGCTCACAGTGACCTCACAGGATGGAGTAGAAATGCCCCAGAGAGTTTACAAGGCTGTTAGTCTTTACTCAGCCTTTTACTGAGGAATGGCTGGTAGGTTCAAAACAATGACTTTTAGGATAACAGTCAAACTCTTGGCCTCTAGTGCCATAAGTTCTCTTTTGATTCCATATTAAGAGCACAATGGTCAAGGTAATCATTCTTTAACTTCTATTATTTTTTTTTAAATCATATTCCTGCTTCCAAAATGAAGTTATGCCTCACTTTGACTCACCACAGGAAAATCTGTTGAAGAATTAATAATCACTGATAGTATTTAAGAGATAATATATATTCATAACCAGAGAGCTGGACAACGACTAAGGATGACAGAAAAAGAATCGATGTCTTCGAGTTGTGGTGCTGGAGAAGAGTCTTGGACTGCCAAGAAAACATGTAGGTCTGTCTCAGAGAGGGTGAAACCAAGTTTCTCCTTGGAGGCTAGGATTTTGAAACTCTTTTCTCACAAACTTTGGGCACATGGCCAGGAGGGATAGATGTTTCTTCAGAAAAGAACATCATGTTTGGAAGGGTGGAGAACAGCACAGGAGAGGAAGGCACTGGATTAGATGGACTGACACAGTAACTGGGGCAATGGTGGTAGGTGTGTCACAGTCAGTAAGTGGCTCAGGACAGAGCAGGCTTCAGAGCTGATGTACATAGGATTGCTATGGGTTATAGGCAATGCAACGGCACATAACAACAACAACAACATATATGGAGTTAAAAACTAGCAATAACTGGTTAGGGAGCTCTGATGGCCTAGTGGATAGGGAGTTTCATTGCAAACCTAAAGGTGGCAGTTGGAATGCACCAGCTGCTCTGAGGGAGACATCTCCTCCTATGCAATTTACAGCCTCTAAAAACCTGCTACATCAGTCATGAGTTGGTTCCAATTTGATAGCAATGAATAAATGAATCTGGGGTTAAGAAATCAGGATGGGTGTTTACTCTGGACAGGAGAGAGAACAGTAACTGCTAGAGTACAAAAGGAGCTCATGGACTTACTCCAGTTTAGACCTGGCTGGGAGTTATATGGGTGTGCTCATTTTGTGATTACTTAATGAAATAAATAAGAGCTGTACAGTTCTCTCAATGTTAGATTTCTGTACAAAAATAATAAGCAAAGGACAGGGGGATGTAAAAAGTAACAATTTATTGTGCAAAACACCTGAGAATTAAAGGTATTAGGTATTATGAAAGGAAAATTTGGGTAAGGGAATGAAAACCAGGATGAATGTTTAAAATAAGTGCCTACACTATCTAACCATTCTCCACTACACTCCCTGAGACCCCAGTTCTACAATGTACTGTTCTAAGGGGGGGTCACAATTTACCTTGGTTCAGGGGTATCAGATTTAGAAAGGAGGCAAGGATGGGAAGGCCCAGTAGAATGCCACAAGGAAATCAAGAGTATTATAGGAAAGTTTGTACCATCAGTGGTGAAATCTGTACCCTCATCCTCTCCAGGTCAGATTCCATAATACCAATGGTCATAGTTGTATTAAATCTATAGGATCATTCTTTGAATAAACTACACTGTAACTCCTTCAGGGAAAAGTGCTACAGTTCCCAAAGAAAAGCCACTTATTTCAATGAAGTCCAACAGTTAAAAAGACCCAGTCATATCAGAATTTCCTATTTTTGCATTCCATGAAAATATGCAAAACATTGGCAAGTGTCCTAAATATATAACACAGAGACCACCACAACAAAATCTTCAGACAAGCAAAATATAGGAAAACAAAGAAACCAAAATGAAAAAAAAAATTATACTTAAACATGTGAAAACTATTTTGGATTGAAGAAACAAGAGCAGGTTGCTATGACAAAAGAAAAACAAGTCACAGAAAAAAAAGACCAAGTCTTTAGAAGCTACACTCTGATTGTCAAAGTAGATTTACCAAAAGGTTAAGTTGAAGAAATTCCTCAGAAGTGAAAAACAGGGAAGAAGTAATAAAACTAGAAGAGAAATTCAGATAAGTGGGGTTTGGCTGTGTATTTACTATCAACCCCATAAGGAACTTTTGTAGATCTTTTCTGAGTACAGTAAACCGGTGTTACAAATTAAACTATGTCGCACCAACACACTACTCGTCTGTTAGTTTGCCCTACAGTGACGGCTCACATGTTTATTGTGATCCTGGAATCGATACCATGGGTATTCAAGTATCAACAGGGTCTTCCATGGTGCATAGGTTTTAGAGGAGCTTATAGATTAATGCTAAGAGTAAGGTCCAAAAAAAAAAGAGTAAGGTCCACTTCTGAAACAACAAATTATCAAAACCCCTCTGCATTGTAATGGAACCTAGTTCAGTGTAGTACCAAAAGATGAGCTCCTCAGATTGGAAGGCACTAAAAATAACAAGGGAATGGCTGTCTCATCAAACTACAGTCCATCTAAATGATGCAGATGGGAGTAGAGCTTTCACCCAACACTGAAGTTTTCACCCATCATTTGCTGATACAGCAAGGCTCGAAATGAGTAGAAAGTTACAAACATCCACTAACAACTGGAACATGGAATGTACTAAGTATGAATCTAGAAAAATTGGAAGTTATTAAAAATGGAACGCATGAAGACTGACATCCTAGGCATTAGTGAGCAGAGTGGACTGGGTTGGTCATTCTGAATCACATAATCTACTATGCCAGGAAATGTATCAGAAATAGTATTTCATGATCTATCCTGAAGTACAACAATGCAAGTGATAGGAAACTATCCACACATATATAAGAACTGTTAAAACAACTATTATTCAAATATTCACACCAACAACTAAGGCAAAGATGAAGAAATGATGGATTTCTGTGGACTCCTATATCCTCAAATTGATGGAGCATTAACAGTAACTGGTGACTGGAACGCAGAGATGGAAACAAAGAAGGACTAGTAGTAGTGAAGTATGACATCAAGACAGAAATGAAACTGGAGATGGCTTCAGAAAATTTTGTTCAATTAACAATATATTAATTGCAAACACATTTTCTAAAAAACAAAACCAAACAGTAACCATACACATGGAGACAGGAATTAATTGACTCCATCTTTGGAAAGAGTTGTTAGAGAAGCACAATTATTAACAGTCAAAGCCAGGAGCCGACTATGGATCAGACCATGAATTCATCATATGCAGGTTGAAAATGAAGTGAAGACAGTTTAAAACAAATTCACAAGAACCTAAATACAACGATGAGTTTATCTCACCTGAATTTAAAAAGCATCTCAAGATGAGAATGTGCAAAGGGAGGGGGAGATGAATTATGTAGGTGTACAATTTGATGGGTAGGGGGGTAAGGGAAATTGGAAGAATCTGTTCTCGAAAACAATGTATTCGAATTTTGTAAATAAATTTGTATTTAAAAAGTCAACTTGGGGAGGGGTAGATAAGGAGGGGATGAATTGTGCAACAATTAATGAATAAAAATCTAACTTTTCTGTAAATTTTTGTTAAAACAATTAAAATAAAAAATTTTATTTCAAAAAACTCAAAAACAATAACAAAAAGAATAAATTTGATGTACTGAACTAGTGATTGAAGACAAGGCAATTAGTGAGATGACCTCAAGAACATTGTTCATGAAGAAAGTAAAAGGGGGAACTCTGGTGGCCTAGTGGCAAGGAGCTGAAACTACAATCCCAGAGGCACACGGTTTGAATCCACCAGATGCTCTGCCGGGAAAAGGAGGGACAATCTCCTCCTGTACCAGTCAGATCTGATTTGACGGTACACTCACACAAAAATAAAAAATTAAAAAAAAAAGAAAGTAAAAGGTTATTAAAAAGACAGTAAAGGAAGAAAAGACCAAAATGGATGTTGGAAAAGACTGAAACTTCCTTTTCAATAGAGAAGTGAAAGCAAAAGGATGAAACAATGAAATGAGAGAGCTGAACAGAAGATTTCAAAGGACAGTTAGGAAAGACACAGCTAAGTATTACAATGAAATGTGCAAAGACTTGGACTTAGAAAACCAAACAAAGAATAAACTCAACATCTCTCAGGATGAAAGAACTCAAGAAGAAAGTGAAGCCTGCAGTTGCAATTCTGAAGGATTCTATGGTCAAAATACTGAATGATGCAGGAAGGCTCAAGAGAAGATTGAAGGAATACAGTCACTGTACCAAAAAGTACTGGAAGACACTGAACCATGTACTGAACAGGGTACTAAAGAAATCCAAACTGTACTAAAGGCATTGGCAGAAAAATATGGCTCCAGGAACTGATGGAATACCAATTTAGATGTTTCAGCAAACAGATGGTGGCCTTGGACATGCTCACTAGTCTACGCCAAGAAATATGGGAAAGTTACCTGGCCAACTGACTGGAAGATGACAATTCTGTTCTTGGATTAGTTCTTGGGGGGAAAAAAACAATCATGCAAAGAAAATTAGATGGTTAATGAAAGAGAAGAAGTCTACCAATGAGATAGATTGACATGGTGACTGCAACAGTGGGCTTCAGCATGGTACCAAGTTTCAATGTTGTTCAAAGGGTTGCTATGAGTTTACTCAGTAACACCCAAGACCACCAACATATATGAATATAATGATGTAATATGGAAATTATAGAATAATCTTCCATGATCTGATAAGCCAAGCATCTAAGAAGATTTTTTAAAAAGGTGGGATGCCACACCTTTAATAGCCATAATCCAACAATGTAACAGGAGTTTCCTTGGAGTGGGGCCTGGGACACCTCTTACCTCACAAAAGAGAAAATCTAACAGAGAATATGGAAGGGACACTCTAAAAGAGGAACCAGGAGTAGAAACATGCTTTAGAGCAGGCCCTTGTGCAGGAAAGTTCCTTGACACTGGGGGAGGCCAAGATATGTGAGGCACATCCCCAAGGAATGCCAGGCCTACAGGAGCTGAAAGGGACCAGAGTCTTCTTCCAGAACTGATGGGGGAAGCCTTTCCCTTGACCTGGACCCTTCATTTGGACTTCTAGCCTCTTGATCTTAGAGAGGACAAGGCGGTGTGTTAAAGCCATCCTTGTGTAGTACTTTCTATTACAGCAGCACTACCTAAGACAACAGACTTACTAGCTGGAAGATAATTTAGTTATCAGATGCTGTATTTCTTTTCTAAATTTTAAATACTGCATATGTGTGCCACTTCCCCACCATTAGTGTTTAAATAGCCCAAGTCTATTTAACCAACCAACCAACAACCAAAAAATAGCACACACACACATACACAAAAAAAATGCCCAAAATTGGCAACTACTATCAAAGGTGGTTTTATGTGGCCATTTGTTTACCTTGTATAGATGTTCTGGCACTTCCTGGTGAGTCTACTTCTTGTATAGCACTAAGTTCATGCTGATTCAAGTTTAATCCTCTTTTAACTTTTGCTAAAGGTGGCTTTGTGGGTCTCCTACCTAGTTCTTTGTCCAGATGCTTATCTACAAGTGAAAGATAACGACAGGCACAATCAAAATGTATTAATATACTCTAAATTTTTCTTTAATTAGCAACATGCAGGGGTGAAAACAATAAAAATCACAGGAAAATGACATTAAATGTGATCAAGAACCTTACCACTTTCCTTTGTACTAGGATCATCTGAAAGCAGTTGACTGTGATCAGAGTTGTTCCTATCTGTATCATCTGCCTGACCATCTTTTGCCACGTCCTGAAGAAAAGGAAACCACTGTCCAAGCTGCTGCTTCTGGGTTTTTAAATAATTTTCAACTGTAAAGTTACTTGTCTGAAAAAGAGGGTTGGTAAGAAAATGACACAGGATCATTTGAAAAATTCTGCATTAAATTTTTAGCACATCAATAAACTAAGAAACTTTGGTGGCACAGTGCATTCAGATGTGGTGGTGTTAACCAAAAGATGAGCAGCACAAATCCACTAACTGCTCCTCAGAAGAAAGATGGGCAGTCTGCTCGCATAAGAATTTGGAAACTTGGAAACTTGATGGAGGGTTAGCTAGGAGATAGAATTGACATGAAGGGAGCACATTTAATTTTGGGTTTCTTAAAACCTCAGCCAAACAAATAATTTCATATTCAAAGACCACGGTCTTTGCAATTACTTACTATGCATCATAAAGCTGGACTATGGATGACAGAAGGAGAACTGATGCCTTTGAGCTGTGGTGCTGGAGAAGAGTACTGAATATATCATGGACAGCTAGGAGAATAAACAGATTTGACCTGGAGAGGGTGAACCCAGCCTGCTCTTTGGAGGCAAGGATTCTGAAGCCCTATCTGACATATTTTGAGCATACTGCAAGCCCTTGGAAAAGGACATAATGCTAGGGAGGTTGGAGGGGTGGCACAAGAGAAAAAGACCCTAGATGAGATGGATTGACTCAGTGACTGGGGAAATCAGGGTAGGTGTGTCAGAGACAGTAAACTGGCTCAGGATATAGCAGAATTCAGAGCAGTTATACACAGGGTTACTATGAATCGCAAGCAACTCGAAGGCACATAACAACAACAACATTCACACTATTTAAACTTTATTCAGATACTAAAAAAAGGACTGGAATGCTTTAAAAAGAGTAATATGTCTATTGAAACATACAACTGCTCACAATTCTAGACCCAAAACCATAGCTCCACTGCATCTATTTAGGGTAATAAAAAATGTTAGAAAAAGACAAGAGGTTGCCAATATGCTTAATGTTGCTGAATTATGCTCTTAACAATGGTTACAATAGCTTATTTTGTATTATATGGGGAGTTGCAGTGACTTAGTAAGGGAGCTCTGGTGGCCTAATGGTAAGAAACAGCATTATAATCCCAAAGGCATGCAGTTTGAATCTACCACCTGCTCTGCAGGAGAAAGACAGACAATCTCCTCCCGTGCAATTTACTGTCTGAAAACCTCCTGGAGTGTCAACTATGGATTGGTTCTGACTTAATGGTCCATAACAAAGAGCACAAGGTTCAACTCCACCAGCTGCTCCATGGAAGAAAGATAAGCAATCAACTCCTGAGTGATTTATCACCTCTGAAAACTCACTCGAGGATCAGTTGTGAGCTTGTTCCAACTTACAGAATATAACATGTTTACCACAACCAAAATCTTATTCTAGATCTAGTATTGAAACTAATATTTAGCTCATCTGATTATTTCCATTGTTAATTCTTCCATATTCAAATTCAAGCATACCTGATTGTCCTTAAAGAAATCCTTCAAGGTCTCTTGATGTTTCTGTATTTGCTGCTGCAGTACTGTTTGTCTGTGGACAAGCACTTCTTCCTGGGATTTTTTATTAAAATTCAACTGCTTCTGAAGTCCTAAGTTATCTTGCTGAGCTAAGACAGGCTGTGAAAAATGCAGAATATCTTGTAATTTGGGGATCATAGAACTACTTGAGAAAGTCTTTTGCTCACTGTTGGATGAATTTGACTCATAAATTCTTTTCGGCTGAGTTTCAGCAAAAGGAAGCGGTAGAAATGAATGCCCTGCTTCCGTGGGTAAAGACAAAGAGGAGGTGGTATGCAGTTCTGAAGATTCAGTTTTGCTGAACTTGTTTTGTTTGCTGAAAAGCAATTCTTCCTGGGTTTTCTCACTGGAACTCAGTTCTTCCCTTTGTAAGTCCAATTTTTCTTGAAGTGCTACCGGATTAACTTGTTGAGGCAGAACAGATTGGGATAATGTCAAAGATCTAGCATGTATTCCTGGAATCTCAGGATGATTTGAGAGAATGGTGCTACTGTTAGTCAGGAAAGGCTCTTGAGTCTGAGAGTCAGCAACAGGCAGTCTCACCTGAGGTAAAAGCGAAGAGGTCTTTTGCTCAGATGATACCCTTTCCTCCAACTTACTTAATCTCTGTAAAAGCAATTCTTCTTCAATTTTCTGTGATGATTGTATGGTTCTCCTTTGTACATCTAACTGGTGTTGAAGTGCTTTCAAGTCACTATAGGGAGGTTGAACAAACTGCTCACAAGATAAACTTTCCTCAGATTTACATTGTCCAGGCAAAACCAGTTCTTTTTGAGTTTTCTCACTTGAAATGAGGACATTTGTCTGTGCATTAAAATGTTCTTGAAGTGTATTTAAATGATCTTGAGGTAAAAGAGACTTTGAGACATCCAAAAGGCCATGAGGCAATCTTGGTACCTCGGAATGACTTGAGGCGACTGTACTATCACTCTTAGTTGGCCCAGATTCTTGGGTCCTCTCCAATTTAGTAAATGATGAGGCAGAAGAACACAGGGCTACTTGGGGTAAGGAGGATAAGCTATCAACTCGCTCAGGAGATATTCTTTCCTTCCATCGTTCATGGAAACGGTATCCTTCCTGAGCTTCCTGTTGAGATTGAACAACAGATTCCCTCAGTGTGGTTAACTGTTCTTGAAGTAATTTCAAATTTTCTTGCTGAGGCTGGATAAGTTGTGATATCCTTAAAAGTCTGTCCTGCAACTGTGGGATCTGAAGATGGCTTGAAGGAATTTTATTACTGCTTTCCATTAAGACAGGTTCCTGGAGTGTACCAGATACAGCAGAAGACAATGAAGTACATGAAAGCTGTCCTAACTGGGGTATGAATGATGCAGAGCCAGGTTGTTCTGAAGATGTATTTTCTTGAGCTCTCTGGCTGAAAAGAAGAGCCTCTGTCTCCCATTCTTCTCTTAGAAGTGGCATATGTTGTGGAAGTCTTTCTGGAAATTTTGGGATCATACAATGACTTAAGGGAACTGTCTTGCCATTCTGGAGTGACATAAGTTCCTGGGATCTTTCTGATTCAGCTATCTGGAATGGGGATGAAGAGAAGTCAGTCTGTTCAAAAGACAACCTTTTGTCCACTTCATTGTGTTTAGGTATAAATTCTCGAGTTTCTTGTTTAGTATCTTGAACTATTCTTTGTATGTGTGACTGCCCTTGGAGGGCTATCAAGTTTCCTTGATGTAGGCTATGCTGTGAAGAACTAAGAGACTTATCTTGAAATGTTGGGAATACCAGATGACTTGAAGGATTTAAACTGTCCTCAGATAAAGAAAGTTTCTGAATTTCTTTAGGTTCAACTTTAGCAGAAGCTAATAAGGTAAGTGAATCTTGTTCAACCATTGTCAGGAGTGAAGATCTCATCTGCTCAGACTTAGCGACTTCCACGTCCTTTTGTCTGTGTAAAAGTGATTTTGCCTGGGCTTCATGCCTAGCCTCAAGAGCATCCCTCTGCCTGGTCAGCTGTTCTTGGAGCAACTTTACCTTATCATGCAAAGGTAGGAACTGCTGCAGGAAACTTGAAGACTTATCATGAGTGACTGAGATTTCAGGCTGGCTCGAGAGGATGGCTTTCTCGCTCTTTGATGAGTACTGCTGCTGGATGTTTCTGGGTTCAACTTCGGAAGCTTGTGAAGTAAATGCATGCTGAGATGGGAAAGTCTGTGGTTCAGCTTGCTCAGCAGGTATGTTTCTGTCAAATTCACTCCGTTTAGGAACACCTAGTACTTCCTGGGCTTCCCGCCTAGCCTGAAGTCTGTCCCTAAAAAGACTGAAGTGCTCATGGATTGATGCAGGGTTCTCTTGCTGAGATAAGTTGAACTGTGGAAAATTCAAAAGGCTATCCTGAACATGAGAGACCAGAGAACGGCCTGAGTAAACTGTGCTGTCACTCTTGGTTAGAGAAGATTCCTGGATTCTCCCTAACTTAGTAGAAGGCAGGGAAGCAGATAAATGTGGAGCTACTGATGGGATAAAGGATAGGCCAGTTTTTTCTTCCAACTCTTTCTGTTTATGTAGAAGGAGTTTTTCCTGAGAATCCTTTCTTGCCTGAAGCACTTCCTTTTGTAGTTCCAGCTGTTCTTGGAGAACCTTCAAATTATCTTGCTGGGCTGTGATATGTTGTGAGTATGGCAAAGGCCTATCTTGCATTTGGCTGATTATTACAGGAGGACTTAAGGAAAATGTGCTTTTGCTCCTTGTTGAAACAGGTACTGGAATTCTTCCCAATTCATCTTTTCCAGGCAGAGAACTGAAAGAACGCTCAGCTACCAGAGGTAAAAACAGAGACGGTTCAGTTAACCTAGAAGACAGGCTTTGACTGTCTTCTAAACACATCTGCTGGGACTCTAAAGTTTGAAAAGCTGTTGCCCCAGATGTTTGAAGTATTTCTTTAGTGTCCTGAAACATTAGTGGTCTATCATGTGACAAAACCCTTGAAAGTTTATGAGAATCTTCAGGGACCAATTTATGATCTCTCTGTTGCATTTCAGCCTGTGACAATAATCTTAGTTGTTCTTGAGATTCCAAAGACTGTTTGGCTACAATATTTGAAGTGCCTAATGTTTCCACTGCTTCAACTGGTCTTTGTAAAAAGAGATCCTGTCTTGGTAGCTGAAAATGACTTTGTTCTGACCTGGAGCTCTGTGTGGGTTGACATTTGTGAGGGCTTAACTTAGGTCTCTGAACTTGATCCCAATGCTCTGCCTTAACAGTAGGCCTTTCAGGTTTCTGAGGTGGTACTGATATAACAGAATCTGCTATCAATGATGCAGATGACACAGACAGATACCTTTCTTTTAACATAGTCTGATATTCATTTAATTGTTTCCTCGCAGCAGCAACAGACTGTCTGTGTAGCCTACAACAAACAAGCACACACACACATTGTTATTACACAATGAAAAAACAAAGTAACAAATAAGCTCCTCATCCTCAAGTGTCTACACATTAAATATAACAAATAGCAATCTTGGGTTGGTCAGAATCATGACCATAATCATAACTAAGGGAATGACTCTCATAATGTATCTATAAACCAGGTTTAAGAGATCATCATAAATACTAAATAACCATTCCTGAAAATGCAGCTACACACAATCAAACACAAATTACACTCTAGCTAATACCTGTTTTGTTCTACAATCTGATGCTGATAATTGCGAATCATCCGCCTGTGACTTTCTTCATCAGAAATTACAGAGCATGGTGCTGGAGCAATGCCATCCTAATAAAAGACAAAACGATGAAAGAGCCAAGTTTAGAAACAAGAACTAACACATCCCATATAAACCCTAGTTCTAAGTAAACTTCCATATATTCTGTTTTTCATAAAGACTGGTACTTCTCATTCAGTGTTACATAAGGATGTGGTCTACTGTGTTCCACTGGTGCCAAGTCTAAGAGCTCACCACATGTGTAACATATATGTCCATGGCCAAGTGGTAAAAAGCTGTGCTGCAATTCCAAAGGCAGCAGTTCAGGATCACCAGGTGCCCTGTGGGAGAAGGAGGAGCAATCTTCTCATGTACTATTAACTGTTGGAGGGTCAGCTCTGGGTCAGTTTTGAATTGACGGTGCACAACAACAAACAATAACAGTGCCAAGTCAGAAAGCTTACCACACGTATTGCATACAAATCATGGTCCTATATATTGATGTACACTTACATCCTTTATTAAAAAAGAAATGACTAGATGAGAATTGTTGATGGTATATACCATAGAGTCGGAACCGACCCATTAGTGACTGACCCTGTGGCACATTTTCAGAGGCAGTTAATCTCTTGAAAGGAGACGACTGCCCATCCTTCTCCTGCAGAGCAGCTGGTGACCTTGACATGCATGCCTTTTTTTGGGATTGCAAGCCATTTTCAATTTCTAATTGTGCTATCCTTTTTTGTGTCCCAATGATTTATAATCTACACCTTTTTATATCCCACCTCAGCCTGCTGAGCTTTCTTCCTTTCTTCCTCTAGTTGAGCTCTGAGGCAGTCAGCTTCTAGTCTTAACTTCTGCTGTTCAATCTGGTCAAGTAAGTCCAACTGCTTTTGCTTCTGCTCTTCTATTTCCATTATCTAGGTAACAAATAACAAAATACTTATTAAACTCACATAAAAATGCATTACATTGAAAGGACAGTTTTCATCATTAAAAGCACACAATTTTCCAAGAAGTGGTGACTTTGTTCTCTGCTGTTGACACTGGGAAGAAAAAAGGAGAGAAACAAAACAAGGCAGAAGAGGAAGGGAAACTGATACAGTAACAATTTTTATTTTTTGAGAACTCAGGGAAACCCTTATCACTAAGGAGCCACTTGTCATGAAGTAGCTGCCTTACACACTTTGTTGCATCTACATTTTAAAACTGTTCCCAATATAAATGATGACTACAGAAATTACACACTGATATCTCCCAAAACATTATAATTGTTAAAGGTACTCATAAAAGGATGCAGTTATAGAGATGCTAAATAATAATGCAGTAAGCAAAATTCGTTGCCTTTTCTGTCCTGCATAGGACAGATGGGAAGATAATAATAACAGCAAATTGCAGACAGATCATAAAGCTTAATATTATGCTTGCATACACAAAAAGGATCAAAATGCTATGAACACATGAGAGTAAGTCTTAAGTTTCCTGTGGACAAAGAATGGCTGTCTAGTTGCCTGCTAGATGTACTACCTAGTATCAGATGCAAATAGGCACTTAATATTTACTAACTAGAAAAAGGAATGTATGTCAAGTTTTATAAAGAGAAGCACTTGTACCAGAGAAATTTTTTAACACACTCCTGCTCTTAAAATACAAAAATGTCTCAATAGGACACTTATTTCAATTAGTGGACAGTAGTAACAACTGAGTTCATGTCTTCAGCTTATTTTCCCCCACTGACAGGATCAACAGTATCTGGAGGGTTTACAGCTCTACTCTGGTGACTTAGTGGTAGAGGACTGCTAGGCCAACACAAAGGTACATGGTTAGGGTCCACCAGCTGCTCCATGGGAGAAAGATGGGCAATATCCCCCTGCAATTTACTGCCTCTGAAAAACTGAAGGGTCAGCTACGAGTCAGTTCTGACTTGACAGTATACTACAATACCACCACCACATTTACCTGTTTCTGTCTTGCCAATATTCTAATTCTGGCTGCTTCTTCTTGAGGATGAAGGAGAACTGAACTCTGAGCAGGAACTATAATAGGTTGTGTCTCATTTACTTCTAAAAGAAACCCCAAACAAAAATAAGTTTCAACAATTTAGAATCATGACATCAGTAAAATACATTTTCATGAAATTATTTTATTAGAAAAAAGATAAGGACATTCAATTGAGGGTCATAAAGAGAGAAATACCTTGTTGATTTTCAGAGTCTGTTTTGTATGAAGGTGGATTATCCTCAGAAGTGAGTGCTCCTGACTCAATTGTTAGTGTATCACTGTCAAGAACTGTAAAGATACCACTGTTATAATGAACATATAAACTGTACATTTACATATTAAGTAAACAGTACAGTCAAAATCAGCAGATTAACAATTCTGTGTTCAACCACCTGAACATCTTAGTCATGATTTAGTCACTTTCCTGATGACCAGTTATATTAGTCATTAAACCTAAACTGAATTAATCCAAGACAGAAGGAAAACTGACAATGTAAACAAAAAAGGAAAATATGAAGAATTCAAATGGTATGCCCATAGGGTTTCCAATATAACGGAAAAGGATCAGAATATGCAAGATATAATTGTTTAAAAAGAGAAGATAAATTATCAACACCTTTGATATGTTTAGATACTAAGATCTGTATTATTTATGAAACAAGATCAGAGAAGGAAGTTAAAGAATTTTATATTCTGATGCAGAGTCAGGAACTGTATCAGTCATTCACTCATTCATTCTGTACCTACTTATGTGCTAGAAGCGAAAGAGGGATGTTAAACAAGAAAATGCACCAAGGAACTTTCAGAGTACTGAGTAAAGAACAGGAACATATCATTATCTCGGAAAAATTATAAAATATGATAAGTACTATATGAGGAAAAAAAGGCTCTATAATAAGAGTAATAATAATAATAATAATAATAATAGAATATAAATTAAACTAGTGATTAAGATTGTTCTCAATAAATAATATTTAGGCCTATCTCTGAAAGATTAGTAGGAATTATTCAGATAAAAAAAATTAGGAGTGAAAAACAATGTATACAACCTTGTAAGTAGACTAGTAGAAAATAAAACTAAAAAAGTTAACTACAACACAAGTACATAAAATAAAAAGTAGAAGTACATAAAAGATCTAAGTATTACATCCTGTGAGGATTAAGGAGAAATTGTAGCCCATTCAAAGAATTTAAAAGTCAATATATGTGGGGTGGAGTCACAAAGAATAAAACAAGATGAAGCTGGTGAAAATGTAATCATACTGGAGTTTTCCCAGGAAAACTTGGATAAATGTGAAAGGTCCCTGTTTTGGTTTCCAACATTCATTTTCTTTGTTTTCTGTCCACTCATTTTTTCAGTGCATTTTCTTCTGACAATTTTGAAAATGTCTGTACAGCCAACGGTTTCCCTTGGAGCTTTGAAATAGCTCCACCTGTGGTCTTATGGTTGAAGTGTGGCTCAGGACTTGTGCATACAAGTGGACAGCACTTAGTAGCTGTGGAGGAAGAAGCAGAGTCAGATGATGAAGAGGAGGAGGATGTAAATTCTTAAGTAGATTAGGAGACTTGCCCCTGCAGGAAGTACACAGTTCTGTAGAAAAAGGTGACACTTGCTGCTGCTGCTATTGTTAATAATGAAGATAACAATTTTGATGATGATGAAACTGAAGGAAATTATGATGATAAAGCTAAAGGAAAAGCACCAGTGAAGACATCTATAAGGGATACTCCAGCCCAAAATGCACAAAAATCAAACCAGAATAGAGAAGACTCAAAACCATCAACACCATGATCAAAAGATCAAGAATCTTTCAAAAAAAAGGAAAAAACTCCCCAAACACCAAAAGGATCTACAGCAAAAACTCTAGCAAGGAGAAAAAGGTGGTTCTCTTCCCAAAGTGGAAGCCAAATGCAACAATTATATGAAGAACTGCTTTCAGTTGACAGACTAGGATGCTATTCAAGATCTCTGGCTCTGGAGAAAGTCTCTTTAAAAAACCAACTTAAACAGTTTGTTAAAATTTCCTGTCTTCTTTCCTTTCTGTAACAGCTGATATCTTGCAGAGTGGGAACTTTCCCTACCATGTCTGATAAATGGTGTCCAGGTTTCTTTGCCAAGAATGTGTTGTCCAAAAATGCCTGCTTACTTTTAAACGATGGAATTCCAACTTTAGCTTTGGCTTTAAGTATGTATGAATTCTATGATAGGACATAATAGTAGCAGTGGTCTGACAAATGGAAATGGTGGGAGACAAAAATATACATATGAAACAAACCCAATGGGGGAAAAAAGGATGCATACACAGCACAAGAAATAGCAAGAAAAACTGGAAACAATCTAGGGGACTGATTAATTTTCATTTATTAATTACACTCGAATTAATATGAACAACAATGCACTGAAAGTAGCCTAGAAAAAGCTTCACTAAAGATTTCAGGATTTTCTGCCTTAGAGTTACTAAGGCTTCTGCATTTGTTGTAGGATTCTAGACTTGAACATTTTTCTTCTTTCAACTACTATTCTTTGACTTGAGACATTTTTAAAGTATTTAAACCATGGTTTGTGTGCTATAAAATGAGCTGAAGAGACTCACCGTGGTCCTGTGCGATGGAGAATGCCTGCTCTTCACTGACAGCTGCTCCTGTTTCCACAGTAGGTGCTTTACTTTCACTTTCACTAGTGGTTGTAATCATCTCATTTTCATCCTCAGACATGGATGGTATTGTCCAAAGAGATTTTTGGCTTCGAATCTTATTTAATAATCTTTTAAAAAGAATTTTTGAAGGAACTCGTTGGGTTTCCATTGCCACAGGAACTAAGAAAAAATAAAACACAAACATTTTCCAGCACATGTTACAGGATTAGGCAAACTGTTTTGTATTTTCACTTAGTTACAGCTACTATTTTAAACAAAACATGTAACTTTTTCCAATATTTACAATTTAGCAGTATACAAACACCACTATTTGATTTCACCAATAATTTTATAACCAGAAATAATTTTTAAAAAAATTAAAACAGTAAAATTTATTAAAACATGTGGTAAAATGCTATCATTTTCCAATTTAAAGTTTAGAAGAATATTATCAGGACATAAATGAACTATGTCTCCATAGATCTCATTGAAATCAAGGGTAGAATTTATTTTGAAGGCCTACTAAAGTCTTTCAGAAAGAAAAAGAGAAAAACAAGGTATGTTTCATTTGATACATCATTCTGGTTTTACTGCAAGAAAACAAACTGGGCTGCTGAAGTAATTCAGGGAAGAAATAATGAGGTTCTCAATGGAAGTCATAGTCATAGGCATGTTTCAACAGTCAGAATGCAATTAGTAACTAATGAGAAGAAGAGGTAAGAGATGAGGAGGTGTTAAAAGTCAACTCCCACTGGCTGGGCTTGAAATCTGCAGACTGTGGTTCCATTCACCACGGTCAGGTGGCAGGAAGGGACACTTTCAGTAGGCTTGAAAAGGTGATAAATTTATTGCTGGACACTTTGAGTTTTAAGGATGTGTAGGACAGACAGTCAAGTAAAAAATTTAGAATGGTAGAGATATAGTTAGATTTAGAAGAAGGAACTAAGCTTGAGCTATTTATCTTCATCCATGAAGACCTAATTTTTGTAATGCTGGCTAACAATTCACACTTTCCCCCCTTGAAATACTATCAACTCAGAAGAGTTTCTCTTACCATCTATTTCACTAGGACCTGTTTTTGTAGATTCTGTCATTTGCACAGTCTCAGTTCCACTGACATTTTCCTGCTCCATTGAAAGGTCCAGTTCCTCATCTTGAGTCTGGTCAGTCACGGTGGGCAAAGGCTCTGGCTCAAGGTGCAAAATCAGGTCTCCTTTCACCTCTCAATTAAAAAAAAAAAGAGACTGGTTTCTATTCTAAAAAGACTAAAAAAAAGTGATCTTAAGATTTAAAGGGCATTATGTATTCTATCATTAAAAGAACATTTTTTCAAACTAAGAATTCACTTAAAGAGTTCCTGCATAATACTGGACAAATATTGCATACATTATTGTAAAAATAGAAGGCTAACTAGCAAAACATCTATAGGGACCCATAGGGGTAAGAGGTGGAAGTGGAAGGGTGAAGATGGGCAGGGGCGAAATCACAGGGTTGCACAATTTGGTGGGTGGAGGGAGGGTGTAAAAGAAATCGGAAGGATCTGGCAGGGACCTAAAAAGATGGGGTAATGATGGGCAAAGTCCAATAGTGATTAATTTTATAAAACATAATGCATGGGATGTTTATATGAAACACAATATTAGTGAAGAATAGTGTGAAACACAATGTACACAAACTATGTAAGCAAACCAATATAAAAGAAAATAAAGGATTCCATTACATTACAAAGATAAAAAAGTAAATAAAGTAGTATTGAAAGTCTACTGAAAATATCTTACTCCTGTCTGCATTGTACATATCTTCGAAGGCAAATTCTAGCTCTCTCTGCCAGTCATCCTTCATTTCACTGCGCCTGTATGGCAGCTCAGCTAACTGTGGTGGCATCCGTGCAACGTTCTGTCTCCTGCGTGCCAGGTCCTCTTGCTGGAGTTGTTCGAGTTCTTTCATTAGTTTCTCTTGATTCTTCAAGAATAAAGAAAAGTAAAGACAGCAGACTCACAAATTTTGACTACTAAACAGTAATAATGAAGGAAAATGTGGAAATAATGAGGAACATGGCCTGTGGTTCACTCCCTCTACTATGTTATTGAGTCAACAAATGGTTAATGTTATACCTTGCTAACTGTTAGGGACATAATCTCTATTCTCTCCATTTATAGTAAAAGCATGAAGGGTTAGATAAGGAACTAGAGCTAAAAGCCTTTGCTCATCTTTGTTGGACAACTCGGGGTGGGAGACCATAACTCACAGGACTGAAAACTGTGTTAACACTGACTAAGACTCAGTGAGGAGGCAATACAGGCAGGACTGAGAAATTTGTAACATGAGTCTAAAGCAATGAGGCTCAAAGCTGAGGTGCTGCATGAACATTTCAGAAGCTGTTCTAACTGTATTCGGCTATTAATCTGAATTATAACCTTTTGATTTCCCCAAAAAGATTCTCTGTGGTCTATCAGCTATCACATTGGATTTTGGGCCCAGCCAAAAAATAATATTGGTGTTGAGATCAATAGAAAGAGGTAATAATAGTGTGGGAGACATGTCTGATCTCATGGGAATTAGTTTTATGTTATTGACACTGTTGATGGGGACAGTTCTCCTTTGTGAGGTTGCTTATTGTCAGTTATAGCAGTTCCTATGTGGGAAACGTAAAAAAAAACCCCAAACAACAAAAACAACTTTTTTTACAACCTTCAAATTTACCAATCACAAATGCAATGAGTAAATGCATTCAAGTATTTTAATTTCTCCTCAGATTGAGTAAAATATTTTCAATAAATTTAATAAAATTTCTAGAGTATAGTAATCTATAGTGAGAATAGCTTATACAATTATACAATCTGAAGCAAGAAGGCAAAGAAAACTTGAAATCACATGAATTAGGACAGTATTTTCATATTCTCACACTTCTTTAATTTGAGCCCATTCACCAATCACTTCTTCATTGCTATCAGTAAATCTATCAGTAGTGGTCACAGCTAGAGTATAATATTCTTACTTGAGCCAAATGAACCTTTTTCATTGCATGGAAACCTCGTACGTGCGCCTTTTCAACCTGTTCCAGTCTCTCTCGTGCTACTTGTTTCTGCAGTTCTTCCAAACGCTTAGCTTCTTCTTCTGCAGCCAAATGAGGATCTGGCTAGCAGTCAATCAACAACATTTTAGACAATTGAAAAAAACAAAATGTACTGAACGAAAGTCACATCTAAAGAGAAAACAACTTTAAAATAATGTTTTTTCTAATCTAAAATTGAAAATAAGAAGTTATTGATATGCATGTATGTGTGTTAAATACACACACACTTTTAAAAAAGTTATACTTTCATAAATTTAGATAAATCAAGATTATATTATCTATTAAAAGGGGTAAGCTCAGATTGTTGATTTCAAGCCAGTTGAAGCTACACTTAATTAAATTCAATTGTCCAATCTTTTTTTATTAAGCAACAAAATAAAAAAAATAAGTAAAAGGTAAAGACTTTTAAATCTATTTGTCAGAAAAATCACAAAACCACATAAATAACATAGGGAAGAACTAATGTTTGGCTTTGGTTTGCAGATAGAACCTGGGGTTTAGCTTGGCCTTAGGAAAGCCAAATTGCCAAAACATCTGCTTTATTATAATTTCTAACTTTCTGGAGCATTTGTGCAAACAATGAATATGTCATTGTAGTTAGCTATCATAACTCATCAGAGTATCACAATTAATACAAATAAGGACAGATAAACTAGTTACTATCATTATATAAACATTCAAACACAGGTAAATAATGCCAATGTAAAGTGGAGTAAAAATCTCTTTATGTACTTTTTACATTGAAATTCTATCACTTGAAACAATGATGTCTATGAAAACTGCTAACTTTTTATATGAAACTTTATATGAAAAATTATTTAAAACTCTAATATAGTGTGGTAAACAAAGAGAATGATGGCTATTACTACATTAAGAGTACACTGGCCAAAAAAAATGTTATACCACTTGAGTCAAAATACTATATTATCCTTAACTCAATAAACATTCATATATTGGTAATCGAAGTCAGAATAAAACCTGCTAGATTAAATAAAAATTAGAATCTTTATAGAATTATTTAGTGTCTTAACATGTATAATATTAAACAAAATAATCTTTAAGAATACTACTGCAGTTCACTTAGTGAATTATTCACCTGTTTTGAGGGTAAATGAAAAACTAACGGCCAAAAAAAATAATATGCATAATTAACACCTTCAGTTCAGACATCCTAACATGTACAAAAGAGAAAAACACCACCTACAGATTTGTAACAATGCAATTAAAAATCTGACAAAAAATTTAACTTTCGGATTTTATTTTTTAGTAGCTAAAGCTAAAAAAGGTGCCCCAGTGGAGCAGTGGTTTAAAGGGCTGGCTACTAACTGAAAGGTCATTGGTGTGAACCCACTAGCCACTCTACAGGACACAGATGAGGCAACGAACTCCTAGAATGAATGTATGTATGTATGTATGTATGTATGTATATATGTATAGCTGAACCTCCAAGAAGCTTCTGGGAGGGTGTATAACAAAGTGCTGCATGCCTATAGGTTGGTAGTGTATCTCCTTATCACTAGACCATGAGAATTCCCTAAAGAAGAAATTAGTCTTTTAATTACTCTCAAAAAGGACAGCTAATGACAATGACTGGGAAACTCCCTGGGGCTGTTCTCTTTGTCCAAGGGGATCACAGAGAGCTGGAATCACTTGATGGAATCACTTGACGGCAGCAGGCTTAGCCAGGCGGTGAATCCCAGGCAAAAGAGTTGTCTTAGAAAACATGTTTCTGAAAATTTTTTCATAAATCTGCAGTGCACAAAATGTAAATGATACTAACTGCTAAATATGGTAATTTTACACCTTCTACATTAGCCATTTGGACAGAAGTCCTTTTAAGTTGTCAGTATGGCAAATTGTTGACGAATTGAAAGGTTTGGCCTTTATGTGTCTACAGACATTCCTGGGGTCTCACCTCAAACAATATAATGATTGGAAAAATATTTTTAGAATGAAGCTCCATTTTAAAAAGTTGTGCCACAATCACTGACAAAGCAAGAAACATAATGAAGGTCATGAGTAATTAAAGAATTTCAAGCAAATGTCTTATTTGCATTTAGAAAATAAATGCAACACACTATACTGCAGAGAATTAGTCCCTCTAAATAGGATTATCGTATGTCATTCTGGTAATTTTTCCTTAGCCAGACTTAATGAGGATATTCAAATAAGAGACATAGAAACAGCTTTTACATGTTAATAAGGTTGACCAAACAAATGAAAATAGTTCATTTTGAGAAAGATGCTAAGAATAACCAAACATATATTTCAAGAATGCAAGTACTTCTTATGTGATATATGTGTGAAGATTTTATCACATTTTTGTTGTTATGGGCCGTCGAGTCGCTTGCAATTCACAGCAACCTTATATACAAGAGCTCTAAACGCTGTTCTATCATATGCCAACCTCATTGTCTCCGAAACACCTACTCCCACTACTCCAATCACTGAATTGTGATCCATCTCATCGAGGGTCTTCCTCTCCCTGCGCTGTCCCTCCAAAGTTAGACAGCTGACTTTCCCAATGCAATCCATCTCTTGATTTCCTGGCTGCTGGTACCAAGAGTGTTGACTGTGGAGCCAAGCAAACTAAAACTGTTAACTATCTCAATCTCATAATGATGCTGCCAATTGGCCCAGTGATGAGAATCTTTGTTTTCTTGATGTTGAGTTTCAATCACAAAAGATGTTTAATCATTGTGCTTTTGAAATACAGATAAAAAATTCAGAAATTTTACCTTGAATCTGTTTATCTATTTTACCCTCAATCTCTTTATTACCTTGAAAGCCAAGCACACTGCTTCACTGCCAAATTTCTAAGACTAAAGTTTAAGGACAGGTTTTTTTTTTTTACTACATGATGGTGTGAAGCAGCAAATACAAGAAAATTTTTTATCGTTTTACTGAAAGGAAGGCAGAAATAACAAGCCTGTTTCTGAAGATATTTAGAAAGCCTCTTCGTCAATCCATGCACAAAGTCGTAGATTATGGAACTGCTTTTATAAAACTGCACTGTAAATTCAACTCATTGCCACTGAGTTGGAACTGACTTATAGCTGAGCATCCAGTGAGTTTCTGGGCAGGTGTATAACACGCTGAAGGAGATGGCCCATCTTTCTCCCACAGGTCTGGTGAATTCAAACTTCATGCCTATGGGCTGGCAGTGCATCTCTTTATCACTAGATCATCAGGTTCCCTAAAGAGGAAATTGGTCTTTTAATTACTCTCTTAGAAAGTATAGCAAAAAGAAAAAGACCTTTCCAGAAATGCAGTAATAAAGGTTTAAATAGAAATCTCAAATTAATTCTTCTTTTCCAGATGATTATTATTGCAATATTTATCTTGTGTTATGTGCCGTCGAGTTGCTTGGGACTCATAGTGAACCCATTTACAAGAGCCCTAAATCCTGCTCTATCCTGTGCCAACCTCACTGTCTCTGACATACCTACTCCCATTATCCTAATCACTGAATCAATCCATTTCATCAAGGGTCTTTCTCTCCTGCGCTGTCCCTCCACCCTCCCAAACATGAAGTCCCTCTCCAAAGAGTGGTCCCTCCTTGCAACATGCCCAAAGTATGTCAAATAAAGCTTCAGAATCCTTGCCACCAAGGAGCAGCAGCCTGGTTTCGCCCTCTCTAGGATGAACCTATTTGTTCTTCTAGCAGTCAAACACTCTTCTCCAGTACCACAGCTCAAAGGCATCAATTCTATTTCTATCATCCCTAGTCACCATTCAGCTTTCCAGCGAATAGCAAGTAATTGCAAAGACCGTGGTCTGGATCAGGCGCACCTTAGTCTCCAGCCTGATGACGTTGCTTTTCAGTACTCTGGAGAGGTCCCTGACAGCTAACATTCTCAATGCAATTCGTCTCTTGATTCCTGGTTGCTGGTACTAAGAGTACTGATTGTAGAGCCAAGCAAACTAAAACTGTTAACTATCTCAGTCTCTTCATCATCCATAATGATGCTGTCAATTGGCCCAATGGTAAGAATCTTTGTTTTCTTGATGTTGAACTTCAATCCATACTGCAGTCCTTGACCTTCTGCAGCAGAGCTTCAGGTCCTCCTCAGTTTCAGTAAGCAGGGTTGTGTCATCTGCATAACGCAGGTAGTTCATGAATCTTCCACCAATCCTGATGCCACATTCCTCCTTGTACAGACCAGTGTCCCGGATGATGTGTACTGAATAGATTGAAAAGGTATGGAGACAGAGTACATCCCTGGTGGACACCATTCCCGATTTTGAACCATACAATGTCTCCTTGCTCTGTTCTGACAACTGCCTCTTGGTTCAAGTATATTTATCTTAGGTCTTGAATAAATACTAAAAGATGCTACTGAACATTTATAGGGTTGCTATGAGTTGAAACTGACTCAACAGCAATTAGTGTAATGAGGCATGATTCAATAGGCAATTAAATGTCTAACTGGTATATTTTAAACACTTTATGGATATTAGATATTGAGGAAGTTAATTTTCCTAATATTTTATGAGGAATGGGGATGAAAGGGAACTGCAAAAACAAACAAAAAAATAACTATAATAACAAAGAAATCATTTGTAGACTCCTGAAGACTGGAAACATCTTTAAGCTATAATATTCTATTCAGGCAAGGATGTTAAGCTGGCCAATCTCACACTGCTAATGGGTTGTTTTTTTATTTTTTGGTTGTTTTTTTTTTAATTTTTTTTTTTTTTGTGTGTGTGTGTACCGTTAAATCGGATCTGACTGGGACAGGAGGAGATTGCTCCTCCTTCTCTAGCAGAACATTTGGTGGATTCGAACCACATATCTCTGGGATTGCAGTGCAGCTTCTTGCCACTAGGCCACCAGAGCTCCCTACTGCTGATATTTTAAAAGTCAATTTAAAACTGAGAAGCCATTATGCTGAGTGAAATAAGTAAGTCACAAAAGGACAAATAGTGTATAAGACCACTATTATAAAAAGCAAAAAAAGAGATTTATATGAAGACTCATTCTTGGATGGTTTCCAGAGATGAGAAGGGAAGGAGAAGGTAGTAAAAATAGGTAATAGACACTTATTCAGATGGGTGAGAAGGCAATATATGGTAAGTAGATGGTAGACATTTTGGGTATAATTTATGTTATAACACAAAATGTGTAATGACTGAATGAAAAACCAGTACGTTTTGCAAAATTTCACTCAAATGACAATAAAAAGTTTTTTTAAAAAGTCAATTTAGTGATCTGTATCAAAATTCTTATGTTCAATTAGAAACCATACATTGCTCTTTCAGCAATCTAGTCTAAAACAAGGATGGCGTTGCTCTTAGGTTTCGTCAAGGCAATGAAATGACCAAACTATTATGTTAACATGGGAAAATAGGAGAACTTCTGGTTAAATAAAACCTATGATGAAATAATAGGTTTTAAAAATTATGTTTTCAAAGGACATATAAGAAATTAATGTGAAACGTTTGAAATGGACAAAGTCATTTCTACAATAGTTAAAGTGCAATTTTTTAAACTGTGTACATGTTTACATAGTGTAATGAATGATGTTAATGACTAAAGAACAAATTAAAATATTAACACTATCAGCAATGAGTTAACAAGTGTTCTTAAAATTAATGTTTGTGTGTATAGCTAAAAAAATTTCATGTATAACATTTATGATAAAAAAACTTTCAAATCCATGATTTGAAAATATGAACATTTATATGGACTATTTTCTTTCATTCAAAGGAAGTGATCATACACATAACATGGAAATTGACAGCATATTTAAAAGGGAGCTCTGGTAGCCTAGTGGTAAGATGTTGTATTCTCAACCTGAAGGCACTGTGTTTGGATTCACCAGCTATTCTCTGTGGGAGAACGACAAAGCAATCTTCTCCTGAGTGATTCAAAGCCTCTGAAAACCCACTGGAGTGTCAGCTATATGAGTCACTTTTGACATTATGGTACACAATGATAACCTGAAAGGTAATTAGAGCTGTTCAAATATTGAAATCTGAGAATATACTATTTAGACCGAAGACATACTTCAAACTAGTGAACTAAGAAATAATAAAGCAAGGGCCATAAACAGTAGTCAATCACCTGCTTTGTGTCCATCTCTCTATTCACAAGAGTATAAAGATGATGGTAGGTATGTCCACTGGTCTTTATTGAAGGAATTTTCTTTATATCAATGTTCTAAAAAAAAAAAAATCAAAACACAACAACATAACTTAAGTTGAAAGTATTAATTCTGGAGGGCCGCGCAGACGCAGTGGACAGAGGGAGTGGATTTGAACCGGGACCCACCCCTGCACCTTTTTTATTTTTTTAAGATTTTTTTTTTTAAATTTTACTTTATTATTTTTGTGTGCGTGTACCGTCAAATTAGATCTGACTAGTACAGGAGGAGATTGTCCCTCCTTACTCGGCAGAGCATCTGGTGGATTCAAACCGTTCGCCTCTGGGATTGTAGTTGCAGCTCCTTGCCACTAGGCCACCAGAGCTCCCCTACCCCTGCACCTTTGACCCACGTCTTCAGGTACCTCA